TAAGATCTGAAATAATATTTCAATGAATTCGAAATATCCAGAAAGAGAATGATAAAAATACATTGGAAACATTTATGTAATCACGATTACATACGATTCTTTCGAAGAATAAACTCGTATCTCTTTAAATAAGAATAGAATAATTGACTCATCGAATGAATCGGATAAACACTTTAATTTTTGCACGAATTAAAATGCTTTTCCAACATGTGAACGATTAATTTTGACTCATCAAATATTCGACGATTCGTGATGTTACAATCAGTTATACTTATATTTATTTAATATTTTGAAAAATTTTTGTTATTTAAACAATACACATAATAAACTTCGAACAGTAATTTCAAAACGATTGAAAATTACGAATGATTAAGAGAGATTAAAAATTGAAACGATTAATTTATTAAATCATTCGTTAAATGAAAAAACTACTAATTTGAACTCGTCAAGAAATGTTTCTCAAATCTAAAAACTGACGATTCGAAAGGACCATCGAAACTATACGTAAAAATCAATTTATAAAGTTTTAATCGAGACCGAAATTATCTTGGGTACACGAAGCAGTCACCTTTAGCCTCGGCAAAAACTAACGACTCTTAATTTCCACAAAGTTCAATTATCTCCCAGCAGCATCGTTCAATTAACCAAATATCGTTCTTCCCTTGGAAACTCCTAAACGCAAACCCAAACTGCTCGTTGACCCCAAACATCATCCGACCAAAAAGCTTTTAACACGGACAACGATCTTAGAGACCTATAAAGGTCTCGGTACGAAGCTCTCGATGCTCGACCGGAACAACAGTTTCCACGATATACAGCATTACATATACAGCAAACAATAATTTTCAATTTTTTGCATCGGCGAATTACAATTAAATCTGTAGACCACATTTTAAAACGGAGATAAAATGAAATTGTAAAAAGTAAAATTTGTCGAAAATTTTTATCCTTTTCTTTGTTATTTAATTAAAAATCTAAATGGAAAAGTGATTCAAGTACAATTTTCGAATAGACAAATAAATTATTAAGAAAAATATTAAGACTTTTAATGATTAAAATAAAAAAATATCGAAGCGCGATAAATTTTTCGATAATCTGAGAAAATTGTCAACTTTGCTTCCGAGACGAAAGGGACGAACCTTGTTTTCAAGTTCAATCTAAAATTTCTATCCAACATGATGAAAGGAATGCTAAGAAGATTCCATTTAAAATTGAAACTCTCGCGATAAGAGTACAATCACTTGGAGTATCCGCTAGCAAAAATACTGATCGAGAGTGATTCGTGACTGTGAAATAAATTCACGGCTTTACACCCGGAAGGCTCGAATCGTAATAACGGTTTCCAAGGCGATTCCGGTGCGAGCGTTCGCTGTTAATGAAACGCACTCGCGGAGTCGGGCCAATAAAAAGGTTAACCATCGAGCGGCACGGATCTATTTTCTCGATAAAGTCTCTTACGTACGCGTGCCAGTTCCTGTCTATCAATGAATCACGTACCAATCCCGCGTCTTTGCACGCGTCCTTGTTCGCGATCAAACAGCGAACTTGCGGAAAAACAATGACCAGTATGCATAATTGTTAAATGTATGCTTAACTGAAAGGAAGCGTGATAGATCGTGGAAAATGCGTTTTTAGGTTTCGAAATAGAAACGAATAGAAACGAAAAATTCATTTTTCATATATGTATATGTAATATTTTAACACGTTAGATGGGGATGAATTTATTAAGTATGGTTCAATTCTCAAGAAAATATAGAAATATGTATTTTTCGCTTATTTTTAATTTGAAATGATTGCAAATTTATTTATTTATTCTATGTTTAAATAAGAAAAAAACTGAAGGACAGATTCTCGATATATGTATCAAGTTCATTAATTAAAAACATCTTTTTCTCGATACATGGTATATCGATTTGCATATCGATCGTATTAATATTTCTGTCTACGACATAAAGTTGTACGAAGAAATTTTATTATGCGTATTAATATAAAGAGAAAAAAAAAGTATGAGATTGGCTGTGAATTTACAAAGAAATAAAAGTTATTTTTTATAAATATTTATCTATTATTTTATGAATTTTTTCTGATGAAGATAAATCGATTTAATATTTTCGTTTGATATTGATATTTATACATCTCAAAAACTATTTTTAATGAATTTTATTTTATATTGCGTTTGATCAACAATTTTTTTTTATATGTTTTATTTTTTTCTTGGTTACTCAACTACTTTACTTGTTTTTGAAAAGCAGAAAAACAAAGTAAAAATTCATAGTTATTCCACCGAAAATTTATATTTTTAACGCATTTTTCACAACATTTGATCTAATTTATCGTATCGATATTTCTTTCTCAATTTGCGTTGTTGTTTTATATTATTTATTCGAATTGAAACTGCGAATAGAAATAGAATAACATTCTATTGTTCATTTTAACTGTTCATTTTGCAAAAAGATTGCATTTACGTTTTTATGTACTCGAAATAAGAAAATAATTATGAAACTAAACAAAAAGAAAATAAGTATCGATCGTTTCTTTTTCCCGCGAAGAACGAAATATTTTCCTTTATATTAAGATGTTAAATCGTAATATCGTTACATTAATAACATACACGAATAAATAATAAAATCATAATAATGTATTAATAATAAATGTTTAAATAATAATATATCACGCTTGACACCAACGCGTGAAAATAATGTATTCTTACTCGTCTCATGATATTGTGTCAATAATTTACATAAAATATAATGTCACGAAACATAATATTCTCGTTGACGTCATAATAGTGTCTAACAATAACAATTAATATATAATATCAGTGACCGTGAATAAAACGTAATCTTATTTAAAAATATTACAATATATATTTTCATCCGTATCATAATTATTTATTCATAATTTATTCACAAATCGATGAATCGAGTATAATATTGAAGAATACTTTAGCAATAATGTTATATTCTATCGATATATTTTCTTCCCCAATATGAAATTTTTCTTGGTTATCGAAAACGAAAAGAAAAAAGAGTAGAGAGAAAGAAGGAAAGAGAGAGATTTTAAAGGTTTTTATTCCGAATTTTTCGAATAAAATTAAAAAGAAGATATAAAATTTTTTTTTAATTATAAAACAACAACACTTATATTTATATTTTCTACGAAACTGATCGATATAGAGTTTAAAATCGCGCATAAGATGAAGACACGTTTCTTTTCAACCGCGTTAATATTGCGTTCCCCACCCGTGTGTTATAGAAAGAGGGTCGATTATCTTGCGTGTTGTTGGTTATTAAGCTCGCAGAACTGTCGGATATGTCTGTATAGAACGCAACATTCTTCATCGAGTTATAACTTTCGCGTTTGCTTAAGCTTCTCGTATAGGGCACGAAATGAACACGTTTCTCGGCTGAATAGCACAAAATGTTATTTTTCCTCGAGTAGCCAAGTTGAAACGACATTTTCGAATGTAATATTAAAAAATCCATTGTTCCTTGGAGAAAAATTCAGCGAGAAATTTTCACGGATGAAAATGAGAAGAGAAGAGAAATAAATTTTCTCTTTTTCGATAATCGAAGGTTTAAAAAAATCTAAGGAGATTCCCTAAAAATTGGAGATTTAATAAAGCATCGAGAGCTGTTTTATCGTTACAACTTCCGATGGATATCGCGCATTCCTCGAGATTTGCTATCAAAGTCGTTCGAATTTCTAAGATTTGCAGAAGAATCAAAAAATTCCCATAGAAATGTTGGAGAGAAATTCGAATTCACAGATACTCGAATACGATCGCACGAGATCCGTGAATTTCTCCAAGAATTTTTCTCCATGAATCGAGCGACAAACGACTGCTTTTATTATCCGCTTGCATCGGCAAAATTTTCTTTTGCTTTATGTCGCGGAAATGCATTGTCTGGTATACGAACCGGTCTATCGTATACGAGATGTTTTCCCATGCGGGAAATATTGTATGCCACGAGCGAAAATGTAATGAAAACGGGAAGAAACACTGCGAAACTGATTATTATTTCCGGAATGGATCCTCCGCCACCGACGATTTCCTTAATTTTACCAGTTCAGCATTACGAATCGTACGAACTAGTTAAAACGCTCATAGTCGAGTAGAAAAATGCGAGAAACGCTGAAATTATACGCCGTAGAGTTTAAAAGTATTTAATAAATATAAATATAGGAAATATAGAATGCAATAGAAAGTTTGTTGCGCGACCAATAATATAACGATCGATAATAATAGTAATAATTGTATTCGAAAGAAACAGATATATTTTTGTAGTTTCATGAAATACTTTTCTTCATTTTCTTTCCATTTCATTTAAATATCTTTGTATTCGATAAATGGAAAGGTATTGTCGCTGTGCGCGACACATTCTTCACTTTTTTGAATTAAAAATAGAATTTAAATCTGTAAAAAGATATTTTAAACAATTTCGAATAGTTTGCTTTTGACAACGTTTTGCGAAACACGTATTTTCGACGCGAAATAGATTAATTTGGATCAATGTCGTTGAAAGAGAGAGAGAGAAAAAAAGATAGGAGCTCGAGCAACGCAAGCGCTGTGTTGATAAAAATAATTTCAAACATTTTTACCGCTTTATCCACTTTTTATAAACTCTTGGTCATAAAAATTTCATTTTCTTGGTGAAAAATTTGCCCCTTGAGAGAAAGAAGAAGTTTTCCCCATTTATGATTTCATTTTCATAATTATGTAATGATTTTTTGGTTTAAATTCGCGAATTTTATCTCTTCGCTACACTGCCAATTGAGACATATCAAAATTTAACGCTAGAAAATTGTGCAGCAAGAGTAGAGATCATATTGTTGTTACCAGCGATATAGAGTTCTATATTTGTACACTTTCCATCGATAACATTAATTACGATAATTTCATTTCTTTTGGTAGAAAATTTTCGTTAAAATTTCGTAGACAAACTCGTAATTGTCACGAGCGATTAATGTAAAATTTTAAACCGAGATATCGGAATTACCTCCAATAAACTCAAAATTGCATCGAGCTTTGAAAATTTTCTACACTGCCCGCATTTTATATTTTTCACTCTCGAAACTTCCGCTCAATTCACACTAATTCCCCAAACATCGTTCCTCTCTCAAACATTCTTCTCACTGCTCAAACTTCGAAACTGTAACTCCCATTGGAAAATCGAAATATAGAAATCGTAGAATCGAGAATTTCTTTCATGAAAACTATTTTTTTCAACACGTTTTAAACCACTTTGAAAAACTATTTACGAGCTGTTCTCGAGACACCTTCCTCACAAACCGCCGAAACCATCGTTTCGATCGAATACGAATTTTTACTTTTTATCGAGCACACACTCGCGCGAAATAGCGGTGAAACGAATCGAAGAAACGATTTCGAGCAGTGGAAACGACACTCGAGGCGAATTTCCAACAGGCACGAGATCCACGCGACTTTAGCCGGCAAAGTAACGACTCGGACCGTTCATGTTTCACGGACGACGCCGGTAGACTGAGCGTCGCGACGTGCACAGGCGCCGGACCTCTCTCGTGCTCGCGACGTCTTTCTCTGTTGCGGCGTGCCATTCTCTCTCTCTCTCTCTCTCTCTCTCTTCCACTCTCTTCTCTTTTTCCCTCTTTTTCTAACTACCACGCTCCGTCTATTCACGAGTGTGTCGTTACGAGCTCTCCTTTAAGTTTCTTTTAAGACCCCTGAATCCTTTTTGAATCATGGACATTTTTTGCTGGTACGTCGTTATTATTATCTGTTATCTGTTGCTTGATGATATCCTTGCTATTGGATACGTGAAAATGATATATCTAGGTAAGGTATTTAAAAACATCGAATATCTAGAATATGAAAATATCTCTCTTTTTTTAAAACAAAATTTTTCTTATTAGTGTTCAGTTTTCTTAGAGAATTTTCTATTTGTTATCTATAAATTGAATCGTTAAGTAATACGTAAGAAATGTAGGAAAGTATGTATTTCAAGACAAAATATTTTTCAAGGAAAGAACACTTTATGCATATACAAAATTTAAATACATTGAAAATCATTTTGTTCGGAATTGCAAATCGATATAAATAAAATATACTAATCCCAGTAAAAGCATATAAGCTTTGCGTAATTGTGTAATTAATTCCTGTCCTGAATAATTTAATGCTAGCAAATAATATGACGGTGATTAATGTGAATCGATCGATCAAGCTTTTATTGATTCCAACATCGAGTTCAAAGAAAATGCCTCATCGATGACATAGATTCCAATATGCAATAACGTTGCCACTTGAAGTTAGATGATTCTAAACAATTTTCATTTTAGAGATTCATAAACAAATCGATGAAAGAGCTGATTACAATAACGAAATATCGATAGTTAGTGTTTTCATTAAATAAAGCTTTGTTCGTAATAATAATATAGTCTTTTGTTTCGGTAGCTAATATTATGCTAAAACCTATATTATATTTTATATTTAATATTATATTATATTATATATTATTATATCAACATACATGATTATTCAATTATAAATAAAACTATATAATAATGGGAATATAAGTGGGAAAAGGAAAAAGATAAAAGAAAATTATTTATTCCCACGCATTTTTTTTATAAAAATATACCGACATTATAAAAAGTTGGCTAACATAAATAAAATATAAATAGGCACAATTCAGCCTTGACACAAATTAATTAATTCTATAATAAATCTATAAGCAGATTTATTTAATACAAATTTCCCTTTATATCCAATAAACGAATAGAAAAGTTAAAAAAAAAAAAAAAACTATTAGTTCATTTTTGACCAACATTGGCCAGACGGATAAATTATCGTCGTCTCAACGATTTTAAGACGATAGTTCTCCATTTATCAGAGTATATCCTCCCCTTTCGTACCTCGTATTTTCCACGAGAGTTCGGATTGTTGTTGTTACTTTTCGACGACGACGTTCGCCGTACGACAATCATTTCCTTGACGACCAAAGGGAATAAGAACGTATCAAGAAACCGATCGCGTCTACCCATGGGAGTAACGTACCATTTAGACGTCGAAAATTCTGTCTCGTTCCCCGGCTTACGCGACACGTGGTCTCGACGTTTTATTACTCGTGCCGTAAACCGGGTATCGACCTCGTCCACCTATCTATTGCGAGTTTACTTTTAAGGGTTGTTAACGTTTGGAGAAGATTTTTCGATGAAACGTTTAATTGTTATATTGGATAATGTTTAATTAATGTTTAATTGTTATATTGGATAGAATCTGTAAAATAATTTGACGATATAAAATTGGACGGGAATAGATTGTTTTATGATGAATAATGTGATGTGTAACGTAAGTGTTATTTCATAAAAGATACAAGAATAGTAAGTAATAGTTGAAAAATACAGAAATGATTGTTTCTATGGAAGAATTGTACAATAAACGTAATATGGATTAATATATTCGGGGAATATCTTTGGAGAGTTGATTATAGAGGCCAAAACGAACACGAAAGTTGATATACTTGGTTGAGCTTTATTTATTAAGTTATTTAAGTAAGTAATTTAAGTTTGAGTTGGATGAAGCGATAATGGAGACAGAGGGAGACAGCTGACGAAGATAGAAGATCTTTCTTATAAATTTTGTTTTATAATTATAAAAGAAAACTTACGAAACGTAATAAAAAAAAATCACAGAATTTTAATTAAATCACGAAGAAAAAATGCACATCGCGTGCACTTATCCATCTTAATAATTGCATCGCAAAAATCTAAGATGATGTCAAGATTTAATTTTTTGATGATAATTCAAAGATGAAACGATTTATATTTTTCTATTATTTGGATACAATTATTTTAACGAGATTTGAAGATATGATAAGAAAATTGAGAGATTAAGGAACGATAACAAATTTATACGTATTTAATACAATTGAAAGATTTGGTTTAATTTGGTTGTGTGTTTAAATAAAGATTAACATAATCGAACAAAAGTAAGCAGCAATTAATAAAATGCTCTTAACGTAAGAGGATTAACGTTCGTGTGAATGAAATAGTTCGTACTTACGTATCTGAAATCATTTATGAGCATAGTATATTACTGTTTGGAAATACTATTTATCTCTCGACTAAAGAAATATTCTTCGTTTAAATCCAATTCAATGAATTCATGCAGAACAAATATTTCGTAACAAATATTTTTTAATTCGTCTATTTATATATAATAATATATAATTCTAAAACAGAAAATAACTTGATTCTTCTCTTTTCAGAAGCGTAGATATAATAAATATTTGAAATGCTCGCATAAATTTTCTAGTTATACATGATAATAGTTTTTATGAATAATACTTTATATATAAATAAAATGAAAAATTAATAGCAAATAGAATAATACATAAAATAATAAAATGTACCAATTGTATTAAGATTTTTGTAATCGTTTATTAAAAATAGAAATGCAAAACAAAATTTAAAATATTTCAAATATTTATTCCAAGAATGTTTTGCATATAATATATTTTAAAACAGAATAGAAATGGAATAGAGATACAGAGTTGAGGTACAGAGTTGCAAGAAATCACACTAGCATTTCATAAACGTTTTAATGAGAAAATAGTGCATATGGTGCAAACGATTGACCTAGTTTTTAACAGAATGGATATTTATTGAAATTTTGTATGTTTTCCTTAACCTAGTGAAGTGTCCTTCTGGAAGAAAGATCTGAATCTGAAATGATTAGTCGATAAATTTATTAATTTGATCAAGATATTTAATAAGTATCCTTTATAACAAAATATCGAATGAAATTTATTAAAACGAATACATTGAAGAAGATTCGTCATAGTTTAATAAAATTTATTCGTAATTATACAATATAAAAATGAAGATAAAACAAAAATGAAGATATATAAGAAATATTTTTAAAAGAACAAATACGTGTTTTTAAGTTGTTTAAAAAGAAACATTGATATTTCACTCGAACTAATAATGTATCGATAGCAAACAAATCATAATCTTTAATCAAAGTGAAACGAATCAATCGAATGTCAGACACTTATAATTTTTACCTTTCATCCTTACTTCTTAGAATGCAATAAAGAAATAATTCTATGGACAGAGGGGTATTTGAAGACAAACGTATTTTTATGATTTTGACAAATAATAGCAAAGAACATTGTTGAAAAGATTACGAGTGATCGGGCCTTGAGAGAATTCCAAGTTCCTCTTAATCTGTACTTGGATCGCATTGTAGCGAGACAAGCTGGCGGCTCTGTATCGATGCCTGTGAGCATTTTAAAGATTTTGCTGGCAGAATTTAATCAAATCGATGAAATGGAAATAATAAAATGAGCATTCTTTTAAAGTAATTCTTTTTAATAAAGAATAAATATTTCGTTGATTTTTACATGTTTTAATTAGTTTTAATTTTTAGGTTTTTAGTTTAATTGTGCAGGTTATGAATAACATTTATTTACATCTAATTATATTAATTTAGATAAGATTTTGTTCAGTTACGAAAAATATTTAGAAAACAATAAATAAATTAGATATATTGCAATACATTTTCTAAATTATACAGGATACGTGGAAACATTGATATAGTTAAAATCTAAGAAAAACTAATACAAACAATAATGATATTATTACAGTCCATAAAATAGTTTTTCAAATAGAATTGTTGTATGTCATAACAGACATGTGATATCAACAGACATGTATGCGATCGAATTCTGCAATATTCATGAAATTGACCGAGAAAAAGTCTTTCAGATTGGTTACTTGTTGAAAGAATTTTAGATCGAGTCTATTCGAATAGCGAATCGCAATTGAATCGATCGAGAGACTCTTCTAAATGTATTATATTCTTAGAAGAAGAACTTTGTTCAAGAGATATAACTGCTATATTAGACCTATATTACACGATAAGTCCGAGAATCTCTTATTTTGCGAGTTGATTAGAAAAGTTTTGTAGATATTTTATCAGAAATGAAGTGTTTGCCAATCATATGTAATATCTAGCAAATCGTAGCAAATAAATAGTTAAGAAAAAGTGATTGAAGATATTTTTTATTTTAAATAATGTTAAAGTAAATAGATTAAAAAAGAAAAGAATATTTGGAAACATTCATCGAAGAATATAACAAAATTTAATCTACTATTTCAATTGTCTAATTTCCAAAATCTTCTTATTGATAATCAATAATATTCATCAAGTGATATAACTCAACTTCAACGGAGTTACTAAACTTTATTTCCTTTCGCAAAAATCTTCTCCCTCTACCAAAGGGAAGAAAAAAAAAAAGTTACTTAGGTGTGAAAATTCGATAGAAGACAATAAAAAATTGGATAAAAGTTGTAACTCTCGGCCTGAAATCAACTGGAAGAAAAAAAAGTTGGAAACCTTTTCTTCTCAAGTTAGAAGTTCGCTCAAGTAGTACAAGTTGCCTTCAGGTTGTCCAATGCATC